ATTTGGAATATCATCTGAATAAATGCTTCTATATTAACTGGAGTTCCAATATTTGTAATACCTATAACTATGTCAAAGTGATTAGGTTTCTCGAAAGAAATACCTGCTTCTACTGTATTTGTATAAGCTACATAATCAAGTTCACCCAAAGCAGTATTAATATCTAAAAAGTCTTTTTTTCGCTATTTTCCATCCATGTCTCCATAATAGGCACGAGCTTTGAAAGATAATTTAGAAGCTTCTTTTACTAATACTCAAGCCATATTAGAGCTTGTTACAACAAATGCTACGTGTTTGCCTTGTTTCAAATACTCAAACCCTATTTGCATAGCTTCAGCCTCGCTATTTGGGTCGTAAAGATACTCAACAGTCTTATCTATAAGTAGTTAAAATTTATTATTAATTACTCAGATATTTTCACCACGATAAGCTTTGAGAAATGTTAGCATACTTTTATTTGCAAATGTATCTATGGCTAAAACATGTTGAGCTGATCTTAATATATCATGTATTGCATTTTCAGATTCCTGCACATTTGAATCACTATTCATTTGACGTTGAATTGCATTGACTTCATCTAAAATAAGTACAATCGGACGGGCTGAGAATTCTATACGAGAGAGACTCTCAACTTGAACTATGATAACATCCCACTTATCTAAGGACAAGCTCTGTTCATCTTGATAATTACAGATTCTGAGTCCAGATAATTTAAGATCATTAATTTTACCCATTAATTCATTACTAAGAGTTTTTCAGTAAGAAATCCAGATAATACAAGGCATATTAACTTTATTCTTGGCTAAATAATTGAGATATTTTCTTAGACCTTTTGTTTTTTCTGTCATCATAGAAGAGCGAATCAAAGTTGTACTGGGTTCTTTGCTCAAGAAATTGGGATAAGCTTCTGGAAAATCTTCCATTTCCTTTACATTAATAACTTTCCCAGATAATTCAGAAAGTAAATGAGAATTTAATACCGCTTTGGCTATTCTTTTATTTAATCCCAATTTAGGTTTCTCTTTTGACTCAACTTTGTCTGATATCTTATCGAAGCTAATGCCCTTGTGCTCTGACTTGTATTGTTTTTGGCAATAACACTTAAGTACAAAATGTCCATTTTTTTGAATAAATCCATAGAGTTGATCCTTATCATATTTAATGTCACATATAGAGTATTCTTTAGAGCAGAGCTTATTATTACATAATATGGATTGTGATTAAAGTTAATAAACCCTTTCTCGATTCTTCCAATCTGAAACCACCCATATTTCGCAATAGCTAAGTTAGCCCCATTAACCAAAACATTTTCATCATCGATAGGCTGAAATTCTTGTTTTACTGGCTCCTCTGAAGAAAAGGTTCGTGGCCAGATCACGGAATAATTCTCTTTAGACTGAACCAGATAATCATCTAGAATTTTAAATCTATTTTTTACAGAAGAGATAGCAGGTCTTTTTATACGACCTTCCTTTGCTGATCCTAGAAGCCAAAGATTGAAATGTGTTTTGGGAAGGCCAATGTCAATAAATTTCGAATAAGGTTCCCCAACTAATTCCATAACTTTCTCTGTGAATCCTTTAAGTTCTCTATAATCTATGAATCAGGCACGAGGATAAATAATATGTCAACTATATTTCTCAGCATTTGATGAACTAGCTAAGGCAAAAGAATTTAAGAAAGGCATAGGTATTTTATAAACTTTAGAGGGATGATCGATCACTGTATAACCTTTTCCTGCCATCTGAATTATATATTGAGAATAAATCTCTTCAGGTTGATATGTATCTAAAAGCGCAGTATCATTTCTATCAGAAGAGCTGGTATGGCTATGACCCTTTAGGGTCACTCTTTCGGGCCTAGATGCAAGCCAGTATTTATAAAATATATGTTCTTTATGGCCAGATTTATAGTCAAGATCTGTTAAATCTATAAAAAGCCTTTTTGCTTCATTATATTCGGCTAATTTTTGATTTAAGCACTGTTGCTGTAATGATTCATGAAGACATTTTTTTGCTTCACTAGACAAACTCATTTTATTGATTTGTATATATGTTGTTTGTATAT